ATCCTAGCGTTAATCCCGCATCAGCAGACCCTGCTTGTCGGCACGCCCGTCTCAATTTGGTGGTTTGAACCAAATCTTTGAGCTGACGTTGCCATTAAATGCGACCGAGAAATACTCCAACCGGCGCATCGCTCCGCCTGCCGTCGGAGAAAAATAAATATTAATGAAGTAACTAAATCACCAGGACTGGACAGCCCTGCTGCAGACACACTGACCCCTCCAGGACCAGGACTAGACAGCCCTGCTGCCGAGATACTGACCACTCCAGGACCAGGACTGGACAGCCCTACTGCGGACACACTGACCACTCCAGGACCAGAACTGGACAGCCCTGCTGCAGACACACTGAACCCTCCAGGACCAGGACTGGACAGCCCTGCTGCAGACAAACTGACCCTACGGACTGGACATCTGTTTTTTCAGGCAGGTAAAAGACACAACACAATACACAGCACATTTATCACGAAAAGACAAAAAACACGATAGAAATAAATATAAAAACAAACGAAAATACACCCTCAATTGTCACAGCTCCTGTTAAAGACGAGCTCTTGTCCTGCCTACCTCCGTCCTCAGGGCTGTGGAGTGGACAGTGGACTGTCCAGCTGGTCCTCATGATCTTCACAGCTCAAGGGGTTAGCTTTTGAAAAGGTTTGAGCTTCAGTCTGTTCTTCAGTGACAGTTAGAAGACATGCTCTGACACGAGTGTTTCACTTTGAGTTCTCTATTATCATCATCATCTTCTTCATCTGCACGAAGGTTAACGATCATTGAGGCACAACGTGTCTGAAACAATAAAATCAATTTTTCACAGCAACTCGTGTAACGTAGCTCCGTGATTTCACGTGTTCAGATGAACAAAACACGAGACACACAGCAGCAGTTAACAGCTGTAGTAGAAAACGCTGTCTCTGAGTTTTAACAAATAAAAGCAACAACGATTAAATATTTCTTCCTGTGTTTCAATGAGCGGAGGAGAAAAAGCACATTTAAGATTCCCGCCCCTCTCATGAATCTCGGAGTTTATTGGGCAACTGGACTGAGTCTCGTCTCTAATTGGGAATACTTACTGTCAATCACACCTACTGACCAATCGCGAGATAGATGGGCTCAACCACCGCCGCCTGGCGGACATTTATCGGAATCGAAACCTCCTTCTGTCTTTCGATCAATAGGCGTAATTTTATTACTGACGAATTCATTAAGATTGCGGGCTTTTTTTACGTTAAATATCCAAAGAGTAACTATTTTTGTAGGACGAGTCACAATATAGGCTTCAAAAAGAAATCGACTGGAATTGTTTGGATGATTTACCAAACCAACGTAGACAACTCCTCCTTCTGACTCTTCCTCATTCAGTATACTTCCTCTGTCTCTGTGTGGAGAGGCAGTCCAACGTGATGAGAAAGAGACATTTTAAAGACGTTGAGACAGTGAGACACCAGGGCTGAAGATGTGACCTATGCTGAAATCAAATTCACTAACATACCAGGACAGTGGATCTAATCCAGCACAGCCAGGATCCCCCTACATAGAGTACAGACC